GCCGGCGAGTCCGTCTCCGACGCGCGTCAGACGCGGACACGCGTTCGACACGCGCGGGTCAACGGCTCGACTCGCCGCAGACACGGGTCGGACACGGCGATTCCACTCCCGACACTTGACAAAACCCAGACCCGAAACCCAAACCCGAAACTCAATTTCAAAGTTAAAGAAACCAAAAACCCTAACCCTAGTCGTCAGAAATCAAAACTTACCCGATCAATAGTTCGTCCTCGTCCTCATCGTCAGCTCTCAGTCTCGTCCTCATCGTCGTCGATCATCCTCATCAACGGTTCGTCGTCGTCGATCATCCCCGTCACGTATTTTGCTCAGTCTCCGCTCTCTCTCTCAGTCTCTCTCTCTTTCTCTCTCCGATTGCTCTCTCTCTTTCTCCGATCGCTCTCTCTTTCTCAGTCGCTCTCTCTCTCCCCCGATCTCGCTCTCTCTCTCAATCGCTCTCTCTCTCCCCCGATCGCTCTCTCTCTCCGATCGATCTCTCTCTCTTATCTTATCGCTCTTTGTTCTCTCTCGCTCTCTTTTCAAAAATCACAAAAAACCCTAGAAATTTTCAAATTCACACAAACTCCCCCCACCAAACTTACTGTTTATTTTAATCATTTTAAGTTAATGTTACAGTGTTACTGTTAAGTGTTCAATATTTATTAGGGTTAATAAATATGATTTTAGTTACTGTTAAATATTAATTAGGGTTTTATTTTTTAATTTACTATTAAATATGATTTTAGTTTCTATTTTACTATTATTAATCTTTAGTTACTATTAATTATGATTTTAGTTATTGTTTTGCTATTATTAATTTTTTTAATTTATTGTTATTGCTATTGTATTTTACAGAAATGGAACAAGATGGGAGTTCTAGTGGTAGTGGAGTACAAGATGACAAATGTCCGCTTTGAAAATATGTTACCAAATTGGAGAAAAGGGGATGAATTGCAGGAGAAAATTGGAGATGGAGATATAATTATTGCAGAGGATTTTACTGGTTCACACTCAAGAGTTAAAAATCACCTCTTGAGGATAAACGGGACTGGAATTAAGATGTGTTTCAAGTCAACACCCGAAAACCTAAGGGAGTTTCAAAGGACGTTGGATCAAGCGGAGACGAGGTTGAGGGCTTCTAAGCTTAAGATGCCAGTTTTGCCTATATCTTCGACTGCAAGTACGACCGGTATAGGTGCAAGTGCAAGCATACTGATTGGTGCGGGTGAATCTAAGAGGAGGAGGGGGTCTAATACCGTGGAACAAACATTCAATATGGGAGCAAGGGAGGAATTGGATGCATTGATTGATAGGATGTTCTACACCAGGGGATTGTCCTTCAACTTGATAAGGAATCCATATGCCAAGGCTTTTGCATATGTCGCAAGCAATCCAATCTCTGTCAAGCCTCCCGATTACAATTCCATAAGGATCACTATCTTACAACGTGGGAAAACTCACGTAGAAAGATTGATGGAGCCCATTAGGGGCATATGGCAACAGAAATGGGTCTTCATTTGTAGTGATAGGTGGACGGATGCACAAAGGAGGTCCATCATCAATTTTATGACGGTTATGTGAGGGTAAGCTAATGTTCTTGAATACCGTAAATATCGAGGAAGAAATCAAGAATAAGTATTTTATCCAAGCACAGCTAGAAAGTGCATCACAGAGGTGAGACCGAAAATGTCATCCAAATCATAACCGATAATGCTTCGGCATGCAAGGCCGCAGGAGGGCTTATGGAGGGCACCTGGCCTCACATATTTTGGACTCATTGTGAAGTCCATACACTCATTCTTGTTATCAAGAATATTTGTGCGGTTAAGAACACGGAAACAAATGCCATGACTTATGCACAATTACATTGGATTACAGAGATATCTGATGATGCATTGTTTATGAAGAATTTTATCATGAATCACTCTATGCGACTTTTCATGTTTAATGATTATTCCAAGATGAAGCTCCTATCGATTGCCGACACAAGATTTGCCTCGTGGATTATTATGTTGAAGAGGTTTAAGGTCGTCAAGAGAGGCCTCCAAGACATGGTCCTTAGTGATCGATGGAGCTTGTATAGAGAAGATGATGTGGGAAAAGCTCAATTTGTGAAAGAAAAAGTCCTCGATGATTTGTGGTGGGACAAGATAGATTTTATTCTTGACTTTACTGGCCCAATCTATGAAATAATAAGGGTCACCGACACCGATACACCATGTCTTCATTTGGTGTATGATATGTGAGATACAATGCTTGAGAAGGTGAAGCAAGTTATTTATAGGCATGAGGGTAAAATGGATAACGAGGAATCTCCTTTTTATGAGGTGGTTCACAAGATCTTGGTGGATTGATGGAACAATAGCAACACCCCGCTTCAGTGCTTGGCACACTCTTTAGTTCCAAGATAATATTTCACATTTCACTCTTTAATGCGAATATTTCTTTTACTTAATACCTTGTGGGCTAATTCATGTTATTAAGAAACATAAGTACTATCATTCCACATGGCTCAATGAGGACGTCAATCGGCAAGTTCCAAATCAAGATCTTGAGATCTCTACGAAAAGAGCAAAATGCTTAAGAAGATACTATCCTAACCCCGATGAACGACGGGCGGTGAACTTGGAATATGCTAAGTTTGTGGGGGCTTTGGAGTCTTTTAGTGATCCGGATTCTCTTTCCGATAGAGCCCATATGGATCCTAAGTCATGGTGGTTTCTTTATGGTGCAAGTACTCCAAATTTACAATCATTGGCCGTAAAGCTTCTGGGCCAACCTTGTTCCTCTTCTTGTTGTGAACGGAATTGGAGTACGTATGGTTTCATTCGCTCCTTAAAGAGGAACAAGCTAACCTAGGCATGTGCGGAGGATCTTGTTTATATTCACACCAATATTCGCTTACTTTCTTGAAGTTCGGAAGAGTATATGGAAGGGGAATCAAGAATGTGGGATGTTGGTGGAGATGCCTTTGACTCATTTCAAGGTGCCGGTATTTTAGATGTTGCCGCCCTTTCTCTTGACGAGCTCACGATGGAGGCCGTTGTGTTTGAGGAGGATGAAGGAGTTGAAACCATAGAATGATCTTTTGATGTTTTAACTTGAGAACTTTATTTTTAAGATACGCTTTTGGTTGTAATTTTTGCAATGTTAGTAACTTAGAATTTTGTAGCCATTGAACTAGTTGCAACTTGAACTTTATTCTCTTGTATTTTGATATGCTCAAGATGAAAGTAATGAAAATTAAAATTTGGTATTATCTTCAAATTAGTTACATAGCTTACATTTGTCATTGATTATACAAGTCAATGTTACATAATAATATAACATAAAAAATTGATCTATTTTTCTATATGTTCATCTTCTCTTTCTTGTCTTCTTTAATATTATTGTCTTCAATTCTCCAAAATATCATTGTCATCCCGACATCTTAATTCACACCTGCAACACACACTTTTCTTTAGTTTTTTATTTATAATCTCCACTTTACATAAAAAATATGAAAATGTAATAGGAATTTAATTCAATATTAATCTATATATAATAATAATATTAAAAAAATCTAGCCTTGTTGCCGTATCCTATTTTTTTGGGTATTGCTGTGTCCGTGTCCGTGCTTCATAGCTTATCTCATCTTAAGTTTTATTTTCATAACCTTTCCCTCACAAAGTTTATTTTGTTATCATTTTCTCTCCTACAACTTAAAAATGACTCTGGTTATTTTTAAGACAAAAGTACCATTGTTATTTACCGTTATGTTTTTACTCTAGAAAAGATATAAATCAATAAAATTTAAAAGAACTTTAGACTATAAGTATAATTATCTTTGATATTTCATTCTTGTTCGCTGATTAAGTTCTTTTTAAATTAGTTAACACATTTTAAGAATTTATTTTGACCTATAAATATTAAAAATTTGAATTCATATTCAAAATTCTGGAATTCAATTTTTATATTTATATTAGATTTCAAAATTAGGAATATTCAGAAAAAACTGATTCATGATATGATGGATACTATAATATATTTTAAGTCTTCAAAAAATAACCTTCGTTAATGTTTTGATGTTTTAAAACAATTTATGCTTGATACTAATATTTAAAAACTATTATAGATATATGTATGGCTAGAGGAGTCTTTTCACCGCTGAAGGGATGAATTATTTTATGAGGTATAATTGTAAGTATGAAAAATTTCGTGAGGAATAAATACAATTGACCAATAAAAAAGAAAAACAAAAAACATGTTTATTTTTTCTCATTTGAGGAGAAGGGGAGAGAGGGAGGGAGGCAGAAGAGAGAGAGAGAGAGAAGGAAGGGGGGGAGGAGGGATATACCTGAGGCGGGTCATATGAGTGTCAGATTTTAAAGTCGTTTGTTTGTAGTTTTCAGATTTTTAAGGAGGTTGCTTGTAATTTTCTGAATTTTAAAGAAGTTGTTTGCAGTTTTCTTATTTTTAAGAGGTTGTCTGCAATATTTTGATCTTTAAGAGGTGTTTATAATTTGCAAATTTTATGTGGGCTGGTTTTTAGATTTCTGGGGCTATTTGTAATTTTCTGATTTTTAAGGGGTTGTTTTGTGATTATAGATTTTTGAAGGGACTGATATGTAACTTGAAGATTATTAGGGGATGTGTTTGTAATTTTAGGATTTTAATGGGTTTTTTTGTAATTTTTCTATTTTGACCTGTTTGTAAATTTTAGACTTTTAAGTGTTGTTTTTTGCAATTTTTTTTTAATTTTCAGGATTGAGTTGCTATTTTTAGATTCTTAGGGCTCTCTTTTAGCAATTTTCAAATTATAGGGGTTGTTTTGTAATACATAACTATTGATATTCTAGATCATATTTTACTCAAATATTGTTAATAAGTTATTTTGACTACAATATAATCTTTATATATTATTTAATAATGTAATATAATAATATTATTATATTATATTATACAATTAATATTAAATATATTGCTAACATATTATAATGATAAGGAATAGGGAAGCGGTTGAAGGATGAGGGAGGGGCAATTTGATATGTTTTTAATCTCAATCCTAGGATGGACCCAGATATACTACCCAAAATTATTTAATATCCCAATTCCATCTGATTCCAGTTCCACCTTAAATCCCAATCCCCTGTGATCCACAAACCAAGAATGCCTTCAAATTGCCCTTAAACTTCAGATTTGTACTATATTCTTTGTGCATGCTATGAACTCTGGACATAACTCTTTGTTGAGGAACCGTATCAAGCAAATTGGTACTTACGAACCCAATGGCCCTTCATAACAGGTACTGGTACGGCTACCTATGCTGCTGATACTAAGCTGGGATCTACTTCTTTTCTTTTATCAATGGAGTCATATCTTTTACTTTTTTTTTTCTTTCCTTTCAGTTCTTTACTTATCAAAAACCATATTCCTCATATTTGTGTCCTACTGAGTGAAACCAATAATATTAAATAAGTTACCATTTTTATATCAGAAGCAACTTAGACACATAAAATTTTGCAAAGTATAGTTCATTCTTAAAGATGCTCCTACAGCAGCTGTCCATAATTTTTCTCTATGTTGATCAGAAATTGCCATCTTCTGGAAGAAGTTATCTTACGCGTACCTTGAAGGAGCATCTTTACCAGTGCCCAAGCAAATTATCAGAAGAACTAGTGGGATGCATGGCTGCCATATATTGCTTTATTGGAAGCAAAGGATCTGCAAATTCAGAGGCCTCAAATTTTCCATTTTTGTCGCGATCATCTACAAGCATTGTCCCACCTCGACAAGGACATGGAGAGCCACGAGAATTAGTGGAAGTAACTTCAATATCGATGGATAAAAACCACTTTTCAAGTGCATCTTGTGCCATAAGCAACTATAGGTTGGATTAGAAGACTAGACAAGTACATATTTCTATGTGTTTAGACTTTTTTTGGGTTTTTACGATATTAGTCTCTTAGATTTTATTTTGAACTTAATCTCTCAAATCATGGTAATTGCTTTTCCCTCAATTCTTGAATTGTTTTGAAATTAGTCCCAAATCATTGAAACCACTATCAGGTCCCTCAATTCTTAATTTAGTTCGGAATTAGTCCCTCTAATCAAGTGCAGAAGTAGTAATTAGAGGGATTAAACAATTTCAGTGATTTGGGGCACTAATCTTGAAGTAAGTTAAGAATTGGGGACCTTATCGCAATTTCAATGATTTGAGGGAATGATTTCAAAATATGAAAGGTTTAAAGGATTAATATCAAAAAAGCCCTTTATTTTTTAGCGCAAAAAGAACCATGGAACTGGGTAATGATACTTGCTGTTCATTTCAGATTACTAGTGGAACAGCTAGAAAGAGTAGATGCAAGTGCGCTGGAAAACAATGTCAAATTGGCGTTCTGGATCAATGTGTACAATTGTCTAATTATGCATGTAAGTCTTCTACATTTTGATGACTACTCTCTACTCTCTAGCTCTACTCTTCTATAAGTATGTGACTTGCTTATTCATTTTTGCAGGCATATTTATCCTATGGGATTCCACACAGTTCTCTCAGAAGGATGGCTTTGTTTAACAAGGTTCTGATATTCTCATAAATATTGCATTAGAGAAGCATAAAATTCCCTGCTTGTATAGTGTAGTCCTCTTTATATACTAAGATCTCTCTTTGAGAACCACACTGGGGAACACATTTTTCTAAAGCTTCCATTATTCTATCTAAGCGCCTTATTAAATATTTACCTATCCATTTAATTTTTATCCTAGCTAAAAGGTCCATATATGAAAAACACAAATTGCAACTAAGCACATATTACGACGCGGACTTACCTTGCTCTGATCCATGAGCAACTACATTTTAGTATTAGGATATTTTGGTGTTATCATTGATTTAGTTGATCGTCTTAACAATTTAGCTGATTTTCTGTATATTGCAGGCTGCATATAACATCGGAGGGCACACCATTAGTGCCAACGCCATAGAAAACTCCGTTCTTTGTTGTCGAACCCCTCGAATCGGTCGTGTATGATCTCAACTCTTCTTTCTAGGTTAAGTAATTTTGTTTTTCATAATATGATTTGAATAAAAAATTTCCATGATATATTGTGTGAGCCACTTGTTTGATGCAACAAACTTCGTCTCCTCAATAAAGTTTTCAATTTTCTAACTAATGGAGCGGTTTGTAACTGACTGATGTCCTGAGCTTTGCATTATCCTTATTCTCTTAACATGGAACGCCAATTTAAACATGAAACGACACTTTGTGTTTTTCATATATCTCATTTAGTTTCTCTTTTTTGTAGTGGTTTGAAACAATGATTACAACTGCTATGAGGAAGAAATATGGAGAAGAAAAACAGGTCACAAATTCCAAAATTGCTCTCGTCGCCTGTCAACCACTTGTTCTTTTTGCACTCTGCAATGGAGCTGCTTCGGATCCCATGGTAATCTCCACCTATTGAAAAATCTCAACATTATCAACATAATTGGGTTCCTACAACAAATTGCTCTTGTTTATCACAGCTAAGGGTGTACACTGCGAAGAATGTTATAGAAGATTTAGAGAAAGCCAAGAAAGAGTTCCTTCAAACCAACGTAATTGTCAAGAAATCGAAGAAGATATATCTGCCCAAAATCCTCGAAAGATATGCTAAAGAGACATCTCTTAATTTCGACGATCTTTTAAAATGGGTGACCCAGAATTTAGATAAGAAGACTCAGGAGGCAGTAGAGAAGTGCAGCGATTGCAGCAACAAAAGAAAACCATCACAAATTGTTGATTTTTTACCTTATAACACAAGGTTTCGATATGTTTTTGAGAAAGACTTGACAGAAAAGCCATGGTGGGTTTGATTAATTCTTCGTCTTGTAAAGATGCAGAGATGTTTGCATGTTGCTACCATCATACGAATCTGAAAGATAAATTTGTTGTAGCAAAGCATATCTGGGAGATTTATGGGTTTGAGTGGCAAAATTTTTGGTTGACTGGTATATATACTATGGCATGCTCTTTTTTTTATGAAGCCAAGTTTCTACACGTTAATTAGTTTTAACTGGTATAAATATCATCAATGATTTTTATTTATGTTCATGGGAATTGCAATTTAGGCATGAGCAAATAGGTGAATTGTCCTGCTCAAAAGAGTTGTCTAAAATAAATGATATTGGAGGGAACTAAATGTAAAATATTATTTATAAATAATTAATCCCATATTATGGAAGAGCTTTTATGAATAGTTGGTTGGATAGAGTTTTGACTGTTAATTTAAAATTATTAATTTGATTAATAATTTGTTCTCGATGTGGGACCCAGTTGGTCTCATTGATGTCATTAGAAGAGATATATATGCAATACAATTCTATTTCTATCTTTAATTATTATGTAAAGAATATTCTATTTTTAATTTTTATGGAAATAATATTCTATCTTTAATTGTTACAGTAAAAATATTATATTTTTAATTGTTATGGAAAGAGATTTGAACAATTAAGAATTGTTTGAAATTAAAACTTATAAGTCTAAAACTATATATAATGGTCATATATATAGCCTTAGAGTAGTAGAGAATAATATAAGAGGAATAGAAAATTGAGAACCCATTTCTCAGTATTGCTCTCTTCGATGACAGGTGGATTTCTATTGGAGGTTTTTTATTTCTTGGGAAAGCTTTGAAACTTTCATATAGATCTTGAGAGATTGATTTTTTAGTAGGTTTTGGGAGATGGATTACGAAAGATCAGAAGGCATTCCAGGTATTATTCTAATTTTGATTAATTTTCATAAATAGTCACGATATGCATATTTCACCTTATTGTATGTCATGTTCCTAACAGTGCGCGCCTCGAATATGGAAGTATGTCCATGCGTTTGGAAGAGTCTTTTCGTAAGCGAAAGATTAAAAATAAGTGGATATAAAATAAGAATATGGCAATAAGACCATGCTTAGCATAGGCTAAAATACTAATTCTAGTTAAACTAACATAGAACATGACTCGCAATTGAATTGAATAGAAGAACATGATTCATGTGCCCTCTCCTAAAAAAATGGAATAAGAACCTTGTTGTTGATATACCTCACCCTAGTTTTATTTGGGCAGATATACCTCTTGAGTAAATTCTTTTTCGCACTTTTACCTCCAGAGAAAAGAGAAAATATTTTCTGCCAAATAGACCCCTCAATAGACCTCTTCATAAAAGAGTAAAAAAGTTTCACTCAAAGGAATTATATGAACCGATACTACAGTCTACAAGAGGTTTATCCACAATTGACCTAATATTTATTACAATAGCTAGATTTAGTGTTGGTTCTCCTGAAAACCTGACAATATGTCAATATTATAATTATAATTATAATTATATTAAACATAAAAAAGGAGAAAATTTTGAAATAGGCTTTTTAAAATTAAATTAGCAAAACCGACTGGAAATTATTTTAATTAGTAAAATTGACCATCTTTAGTCACGTCAACACGATTGACTAAAAGTGAGCAATGTTGCGAAAGTACAAGTTTTTAAACACCCGAGATTGGTAATCCTGTGTAATTAGTGGTCGTTAATTAGTGATTAGTAATTACACAGGACTAACAGTGCCTTGTTTTTTTCGTATGTGCGCTAAAATTTTAATGTAAAAAGACTACAAACAAACTTTAAAAAGTGCGGGACTACTAATCCTGCATGTTTTAAGATTGTTAATAACTTGTTATTAGTGAGCACTAATTACACGAGACTGGTAGTCCCATACTTTTTAAAGTTTGTATTTAGTAAAAACACACACTTTTTCAGCTAGCCATACGAACATTACTGAAAACGGTCGGTTTTACTAATTAAATAAACTTTCAGTGGATTTTGCCCATTAAATTTCAAAAACGATTTATTTGAAAAACTCCTCCTATCAAAAACATAATAATTTGGGGCGCACATCAAAATCAAACAAAACGAAGCCCCCCATCGCTCCATCGCCACGTGGCCCCTCCTTCATTCGCTCGTCCACGCAAGTCAACATTGAAAAATCTCACCCACTCTCCTCTCGCACTCGTGCGTACGAGAAACCCCCACCAGGGGCAAACCCGTAAATCTTCGAAAAATCTCTGTCCAAGTCCCTCTCCAATCATCTAGTTTCTAAACTCCTCCGTACTCGTTCGGGTCATTTCCCCAAATCGACACTGGTCCTCAAAACACTTCAAAAAAGAGAGAGAGAAATTTTCAAGGGCAAACAAAGGGAAAAAAAAACGCCGTCAATTCGCCGTCAAATTCTCCTCTCCGACGATCGTAAGCCGCTGGATCCATGACGGTCGCTAACGGAGCTAGGGTTCCGTCTCTGCCGGAGCCTGCTGCCGTCGGGAAATGAGCTTTTTGATTGCTGCCGTAGGTTTTGGGGTTCGCTTAGTCAACGGTCGAGATTTCGTCTACGAATGGAGGGAAGCAGCAGCAGCCTAGGGTTTTTTCTCGCTCGGGTAACTTTATTCGAAAATTTCCCTTTTGAATTAAACAAATTTTTTGGTTACTTTTTTTAGTAGTTTGCTGTGTCGATTAATTGGTTCTCTGTGAGTTTGGGCCTTTTGATCTGCTTGCTTTGAATTGTGTGATGGTGTTGGCTGATGCTTTGATTTGTTCATAAGCAGTTTTCTTTTTTTGTTTTTTTAAAAGAAGTTAGGGTTTCAGACTTCCATTTCTGAGAATTGAACTCAATTTCTCTCTTTGAGCAATTTTTTTAATGATTTTGTTGTTCCCGCCCTTTTGTCAGAGTTTAAATATTTCAATAGTGAAATGGATGGAACCTTAAAATTGCGTGGTTATCAGTTGGAGGCATGACTATTTCAGAATTGAATGGCCGTGCATAACTCTTGGGTTGCACAGAGACTGGGATTTCTCAGTTGATAGAAAAAAATGGTCATGTAATTTGTTTTGGAATTCTACTTGAATATTTGTGATTAAAGTTTTGATCTTTAACAAAAAATCCAGCTTTAGTTGTCAGCCTTTATGCAATTTATGGTTCCAACTCTAAAACCATAACCGCACTATTCTCAAAGCCTTAATATTCTTCATGAAACCCAGGATCATTGTGCCTTTAAGATCTGTTGTCTTGTGGCGAGAACCAATAAAGTACTCTGATCTACAAAGGAAGCAAACTATTAAACTAAAGTACTCTAGTTCCTTACGTAATAAACAAGTTGACAACTTTGTGGAGGTTTCTGTGTTAATACAGTTTAGAAATGGAGCCATTACTTCAGGTTCTTTAGTGGTCACTGGCGTAAATCACACTTAAATACCCTATTTTTACCCGATATTGCTCCAAAATACCCTAAGTTTAAAACCCTACACTTAAATACCCTAAAGTTTCTAAATGTTGCATTTAAATACCCTAAATTAAAATGCAATTTAGAAACTTTAGGGTATTTAAGCGTAGGGTTTTAAACTTAGGGTATTTTGGTGCAATATTGTGCAACAACAGGGTTTTTAAGTGTAATTTGTCCATTCTATATTTAAAATCATTATCAGTTGTGCTATCACCTTTTGATATCTCCATAGAAATCTGTTGGACAATTATTTCTCTATAACTGCAACTTACTGTTGTGTAATTTTTATATTAGGGGCTTCCCCTGGATATTTAAGCCGTGAGTTTAGTAGTACCTGAAGCTTATTACATAGATCTTAATTTTAAATTATTTCCAGGGTTACGCCGATGGATTATGATGAGATTGATTTTCAAAGCCAGAATTTCCAGCTAGTTGGAGAAGAGAACAAATTTCCTCCTAGTTTACGGTCATTTCCTCTACCGAAATTTGATTTTGACGAGCATCTTCAGGTTCATCTCAGATTTGATAGTCTAGCTGAGACAGACGTTTTACTTGGTATACAAGGTCAAGACAATAATTGGATTGAGGATTTCTCATCTGGAACAAGTGCGATAGAATTCAGTTCAAGTGCTGCTGACAATTGCTCAATTTCTAGGCATAACAATGTATGGTCTGAGGCTACTTCATCTGAATCTGTTGAAATGCTGCTGAGATCTGTTGGAGAAGATGAGATGAGGGATAAAAAAGTTGAAGCCATGGAAGCAGATGCGCAAAATGTAGTGAATGAAATGATTGACCAAATGGATCCTGCTTCAAGGCAAGTCGATGACCACAGCACTGTAGTAGGGGATATCATAAAAAGTCCAGTGTTGTCACCTGATAAATTTCAGAGAAACTTATCCGGTGCAAGTGAAATATCTGGTGCAAAATCAGATGCAAGTTCCTTGGGAGATAAATTTCACACTAATAGAAAGAGCGGTGGTGGGCAATGCATGGAAGCTGACAATGTTTCTCAATCATCAGATGATACCAGTAAAAATGGTTCAGTAATAAGTGAATCCTTGTGCAATTCGGTACATAATGTGGAACCTTTGGGTACAGGATCCATGAAGGCGTATGATGCTCGTTGTTGGGATGCGAGTAAGGTAGCTAGAAGAAGTCCCGATACTATTGCTTGTAGGGTTACTCAAGAGAAATTAGTGGAAAAGCACACTGTTATTAACATGACCGAGAGGTCAGATTTGCATGTGGATGATGCACAGAATGAGATAAGTCCAATGTCAAGAGATCCCGCAGGGAATGAGCAGTTCTTGGAGAGCCATGGAGTAGAAAGTCAACTTTGTAGTAGAGGAAATACTTCCATTGTGCAGCCAACTAGGGATTCTTTTGTACTGATGAGTGAAAGATATAACATGAGTGGATATTCTGAGAAACCTGATGGCTTGCTGGAAGCCATTACTTACCAAGTAAAGGCTAAAAAATTTGATAATAAGACAGGTGATAGAAGTTCAATGCCGGCGAATGAGGTGATATCACTAGAAAATGCAGGAGAGAGGTCTATTGAAAAAGATTATGTTGATATCAGCAAGGAAAATATTCCTAGCCAGCGGACTGACCACGATGAGAAAGGGATAGGACATACCTCAGAAGCTGCAGTAGAGGCAAATGCTTCAACTCGGATGAATTCTGAAACACAAAGGACAGAGACAAAAGATGAAAATATGTTGCAAGTTAATAATCTAGGTGCCCAGACGCCTGATCCAGTTTTTGTGCAGAAGAATGTTGAAGCTGCAGTTGTTAAAGATGTTGAGGGATCTGGCTGTAAATTTATTGCATCAGAAAATGTTATGTTAGATGAATCTCCTTTGCCTGCTGTACTTAACAATCCTGATGTTAAGATTTCATCCCCTGTTCCTGGCAAAATACACAAGATGACTGAGCAATCTGATGTTCACACGTTTTCTCTGGAGTCTTCTGCTGGACAGAGGTATGTTGGGCCATCCATGAGTCCTGGTACTACAAATTTGAACGGTGACGATCTTGTTGTCTTGGGGAAGGCAAAATTTGCCACATCTTCTGGACAAAATTCTGACAATGTGGGAATTGCTAGTGTCTCTAGAGCCAAACATTTGGTACATGATGAATCAGGTAATGGATGAAGATAGTTTTATTTTAATGCTTATTTTCTTATATTTTAATGCTTCAGGTTTAGCCCATAACATAATGAACCTGATGCTTTTTTATATTTTAGCAGCCAGTAAAACTGCTCCAATGGCTGTTGGATTACCTTCCATTGTTGCGGAGGAAAGTAAACAAGTGACTTCACCAAAGTTACTTGAACCGGATTCCATTTATTCTGACGTGAAAGAAGTGAAAATAACAGGAACTGTATCTGTTTCTGTTTTGAAATGTAAATCAGATGCTCTATTACCAGTTGTGCCAGTTGTAACATCTGATTCAGTTGTCACTGATAGTTCATTAGCTAGAGATATGGCACCGGATGTCCCAGTCCCAGGTAACTGTTTGTTTTAGTTTCTCTTAAATATGCTTTCAACTTCATCCTCGAGAGTCTGATATATGTGTTTTTGACATGGACGATTTGACTCTGTAGGTGTCAAGGTCGCTGTTCTTGACGAAACAATTCAGTTGCATCAGTCAGAAGATACCTCCACTGCAGATACAGTTCCAGAACGGTATGAGGGGGCAGCATCAGTTCAATTTTCATCAGAATTCATTCCGTCCAATGATAAAGAAGATAAAACTTCTGCAGTCACTAGTTTAACTAAATCGGAGGGTAATGTGGACAATACACCACTTACTGAGTCTAATATTGGTGAACATAGTCCTCTCAGAAGCATAGACAATCGTCAACCTGCTTTGGTGGATCAGCCTTTATCTTATGTGGAAGCCTCCATTCCATGCCAGAGACTTCAATCGTTGGTGGATAAAACAATCATCCATGAGGAGGCTACATCAGTTGTAGAAAACCTTGTCGTCCATGATCCCCCTGTAGAAAGAAAGGACCCCTCTAATAAATCAGAAGCTTCTTCGCATGAAAACGAAGAGACAGTTTCTGGTAATTTCATTGATACTGAAACTAGTCTTGCTCTTTAACTGGGTCTTGTTTATTTTTAATTTCTCTGGCATGTTTGTGGGGCATGACATTCTTTATACCTTATTTTAATGTTCTCAACGTGAATTACATTTAACGGGAACTACCTTTAAATTTTCATGGGAACATTTGTCAGTAATTGAAATTTTTATACCCGGAAACTTATTTTTACCTTTTCAGCGAAAATGACCAGCCATGGTGAAGGACGAATGCTGCCAGAGACTCCATCTGTTGAAAAAAATTCTGGTAATTATCAAGACTGGGCAACTGAGTTTATTTGTTGAGATAGCATTAGTTGGTAGAATTTTAGCATACACTTTGAGACTAGATGCCTACCCTGTTACTTTTAATGGTAATCTGGATGTACTTTTTATTTCTTTTTGTGGAATATGTAACATTGCCTACAGTTCTTTGGATTATTTGTTTTTCTCTCTGACTTTTGAACCTAGCAAAAGCAGGTAGGGGTTCAAAACTATAACATCAGTGTTTGGATTTGTATTTTTTATTCTTTTCTTTTTCTTCATAGTTAGAAACTGAAAGCTGCTGATGGATATTAGTACCATTTATAATGTCTTTCAATGCCCTTGTCCTTTACAGAGGATCGATCATCATATATCATTAACATGTTGCACAGTAGGATTTGGATTCTTCTTACATAAGTTATGTTGGTTGTGTCATTCATTTGCATCACACATCTCTTTCAACAATTTTTGCATGTTTTTTATTCGGAAAATCATATATTAGTTTGCAGTTGGGTTGCGCCTATGCGCATATATCTGTCTGTGCACAGTTGATATCAAAAGGATATTTTACTTATGTTGGTTGTTATACTGCACTAAGCTTGCTGATTTAATTTATACGTCCCTTGTGCTGTATTCTTCTATGATTTACATACTGTAATTGTGTAAACCCTTATTGTGTAGTGAGTGTTCTGAAGCATGGAAACTTCAATGGAGTCCTTTGTCTGATACTTTTGGGATAAACCATTATGCTATACTTGTTAACACCTGTCAATGAAGCTTTTTTACATATCCAATATTAATGAATAATGAGGACTGTACCAGGATATGCACAATGATTCGCAACGAGGATTATCATAGGTCTGATGTTTTATGGATGGTTATCATGTTGATTCTACTTGTTTCGTTGAGTTGCCATGATGTTTTTTTTTTCTTGTGGTAATGAAACCTAGATGTATTAGCACCAGAGTTTGACAGGGGAAGGCATGGTCAAGGTGACAGTCCTGTATCCTTAAGGCGCAAGGCATCAGAATAGGTCGTTGCTTTAGCAAAGCGTCGTGACAAATATTAAGAAAACTTTATAAATGATATTTAATTTAGAGGTCATTGTGTGACAATCTAATTAACTTAGAGATAAATCACATGTAAAGACAAAGATCAGAAATAACGACATGAATGCACAAAACTATACATCTAAGCGTTGGGTGCTAAGCTACAAGAAAAGTCATAACTACTTGTCAAAGCATAATATGAAGAAACAAATGTTCATAAAATCTCACAGAAAATCAATTTATCATTATACAGGATAGTATGCAATGACAATAGTAACTAGGAAGGATGGAGTAGGGATTATTAGCTAGTATAGGCGATTATTAGCAGGATATTAGCAGTTCAGTTAGATGGATTGAATCATCTACAAGCGTTGTGAGGTTGTATTTAGGAATTAAATCAAATTAAGGCTAAATAATTGGAGATGTTTAATGTGAAAAAAATAGTGACCTTGACATGATTATGCAATAAAAAACCAAGAAAGGGAAAGGAAAGAAAGAGAAGATGATAAAATAATGGGGTTGCATGCAGCTCGCAAGAATGCCTTGCCTTTAACTCACTTATTAATGCAAACCTCATTAATATTCCTCTGATGTAGGTTGTTATATGGTCTACCTTTTATTACTTATCACCTGTACCCACACTGGTTGAAGGGTCCTGTGTTTGTGTGAGATTGTCTAATACTGAAACATCTAAAATACATGTGGGTACATGATTATATGCTGATTGTTTTCCAGCAGCAGTCTTGCCTTGAACTCACTTTGAAACAAGGGTAGGTACAGTCTGGATACGTCATGCACAAGTATCTGTTGTTACAGTGTTCATGGGTAATTTAATTGTTATATTTGTTTATTTATTTGCTTTAAGGAGCTAGTTTATATATATTATATATATATATATATATATCATAATATATATATATATAATATATATATATATAATATATGTGTGTGTGGTGTGCTGTGTGTGTGTGTGTGTGTGTGTGTGTGTGTGTGTTGTTTTTTTTTTATAATGTATGTATGTATGTGTGTGTGTATGTATGTATGTGTGTGTGTGTATGTATGTATGTAATCATACATACATACACACACACATACATAACATACATACATACACACACCACACATACATACATACACACACACAATACATACATACATACACACACACACACACACAACACACACAACAACACAAGCACACAACATATATATATTATATATATATATATATATTATATATATATTATATATATATATAATATATACACACACGCATCCTTTGGATACTTACTATTTGTTTTGTGGTTTTGGTCATATCCTTGGTCCTTAAAAATTTTCCATCTGTTTATACTAGTTTATCATTCATATTAGTTTGTGAGTATTGTCATGCCATGTTGCGTCTTACTTCTTCCTAGTGTGCTACAGTGTCCATGTTCTGTAGTAGTGCGTACCCACCCGGGCAACTTAAAGTGGTTTCTTATTGCAGTTACTCTGGTTAAAGCTGGTGTCAACGCATCAACCACATTGTCTGAAAGCAACGGAAAAGCCCAGTTGACAGTTGAAACGGTTAAAGGACATGCTCAAAATGAGCAAGAAGGTAGCAGATCCCTACCAGTCCAATAGATCCTTTTTCAATTGACCTATCTAATTTCTTATGAAACAGTAGGAAATGCTAAACAAGTTGAGCACACTACTTCTGATCTGAAGAAGAGTATTGCATCTGAAGATGACAGAACCTTCACATTTGAGGTTCAAAGAGCAGAAGAGCTGTCTGGAAATAGCATAGGCGATCAATGGAAGCCTTTTACCATTATGCAGTCGCCTGAACTTTCTGAGGTAATTTTTACTCCAGGAACTTTCTTTCTGAAATGATTTTTTTTTCTTTTATCTATTTTCATTTCTCAACGAAATATGGCTGTCTACCTGTCTGATTTCAAGAACTCAAATGAAAATCAGGGTTGTCGTTCAGAACATGTAGAAGGGAAACGTCGTAGCAGGAGTAGAAAAACAACTTCTGAGGATAAACCTACTCATGCAACTAAATCTTCAAATGAAAAACAAACCACATCTAAGGGAAGGCCTGCGAAACGAACATCAGTGCGTAAGAAATCTACCGATAGTGTTGGAAAATCATGTGCTACCTCTTCTGCACCTGTTGGAACTGTAGGCAGTGGCATGCAGTTAGAAGCAGTACAACTATTCACTGAGAGCAATCATAAGAAATCATCTGCTTCACCAATTGTTCAGCCAGCAGGCATGCCTGAGTCAAACTCTTCTGCTTCATCCACAACATTAGTTCAACAACCTTTCACTGATCTACAGCAACTACAGTTGCGTGCACAAATATTTGCTTATGGATCTTTAATGTGAGTTATCAATCATGGTGTGAATTTTTTTTCTTGTGTTATATGTTCATCATGGTATATTTATTTTAATTTGTTGTCGCAGTCAAAGTATCCCTCCAGATGAGGCCTGCATGCAGTCAGCCTTTGGAGCAACTGGTTTGTCTTTGCTACATTTTTTTTTGTATTATTTCATCAAGGCATTTTGGTCAGTGGTGGTTCAGTTGCCATTTATTTATGAGCAGATGCTGGAAGGAGCTCGTGGGAGAGTGTGTGGCGCAAATCAGTTGAAAGGTATCAAACTCAAAAGTCACCAGTTAACCCTGAGACTCCTCTTGATTCTCATTCAGGTACATGGCTCCGAAAGTTGTTTCCATTTATCCATGATGTTTAATTAGAAACCGTTTCCTTAAATCAGTAAACTGATGTTTGCAGCTGCGGGGGCACCTAAACAAGTAACAAAGCGCAGCTCACGGCAAAGTAAAGCTGTGAGTGCTTCTTCAAGTAGGTCCGTTGGTAAAGTTATTGCCCCTGCAGTTTTAAGTTCCACACCACCTTTACCATCGCCTCTGTGGAGCGTGTCTACTCATGATGGATTACCCTGTAATTTGCCGAGAGGTGCGAAGCTGGACTTTAGTCAAGCTCTGTCTCCATTGCATTCTTATCCATCTTCACAGAAAAGGCAGTTCACTAGTAGCAGTATGCCTTGGCTGCCGCTAAACCCTCGTCCTGGGCCCTGGGCTGTCTCTGCCCAGAGTCCAACCCTTAATGCTGCTACTCAGTATTCAACAAAGCTGGTTGTTGAAACTCTTCAAGTAACAGCAGCGAAAGAATTATCCATGGGACATGCTGCTAGTGTGCAGCTTGTGTCCCCAAGTACTCTGCTGCCTACTCCATGTTCTACGAGTGTTCCTCCAGCATCATTTGTTCAACTAGAAACGCAAAAGCAGTCAGCAAGTCCTGGTAGTAATAAGAAAGCTTCTAGCATCCAGAAACCTAGAAAGATGAAGAAGGTTGTGGCAACTGAGGATTTTACTGAAATCATTCCAGTTTCTCAATCTTCTATGGAACCTGCTTGTACTACAACTGTTTCTAAAACCCTGCCTTCTGCATCACCAGGCCTGCTGTTATCTGCTATACAACCTGCTTCTGCTCCTAATGTTCCTAAAACTCTGCCGTCCGCATCAGAACGCTTGCCATTATATAATTATACTCCCCCAAAAGTTGCTTCTCAGCCCATTGTTTCAGCTGCCACCCATATTTCTCCTCCTCAAAATCAGGTAATAGTCAGTGCTAATGCTGAGCAGAGGGTCATTGTTTCAGAAGAGACAGGCAATAAAATTGAGCAGGCTAAGCGGCAAGCAGAAGATGCTGCTGTAGTTGCTGCTTCAGTGGTAAGTCATAGTAAAACTATATGGAATCAGTTAGCTGCTCAGAGGAACTCTGGACTAGTTACAGAAGTCGAAGAGAAGCTTGCTTCTGCAGCTGCTAAGCTCGCATCGAATGCTGCTTTACAGGCAAAGATGATGGCAGACGAAGCTCTAGATTCAGCTAAAACAAGGAGCCTAGCACACAGTTCTGAAGCGATCTTTGATGCTGAGAAGAATTTCGCAAGGCTCTCTCCTGGGTCAATTCTGAATGGCAAGGACAAAGTGCATGGTTCTAGTTCAATCATTTCTGCTGCACGGGAGGCTACCAGAAGAAGGGTTGAAGCAGCTTCTGCTGCCACAAAACGAGCAGAGAATTTAGATGCTATAATGAAGGCTGCAGAACTAGCTGCAGAAGCTGTATGCCAAGTAGGGACAATAATTGCAATGGGAGATCCATTGCCTATCAAATTAAGTGAATTGGTAGAAGCTGGTTCAGACTGTTCTTGGAAAGCTAACTGCCCAACCTCAGAGATGCCTAACATAGCAAACAAACTGCCTGAGGAGGAGCAGAAAGACTTGGGTCACAAGGGTCATGATCACGTGCAGACACCTTCTAACAAAGTAAATGCTGTTGAAGATGAGACATTTCATGATGAGCAGCCCATACAGTCTGCAGTTAAGTGCAAAGGTACGGGAAACTTTTAGTAACATGACTATTTCATACACTGAATGAATTTCCACAGTAGTATGTAATGATTTTTATTTTGATTGAAGTGGGCTTAACTGGCTTAGGGAGTGGAGTAGGTAATCCATCAACTCTTCTGAATGATAGCCATGAAAGAAATCAGTCATCAGGCAATCTGAAGGAAAATGCCATACAAAAGGGATCTGTTGTTGAGGTATGCTTTATATGGAAACCTTTAGGATGCTCTCTGCTGCAAACTAAGCAGTGGAATATGTGCTTCCTTAACGGCTTAGCCACATCCAAATTTTTTTTTGGGTGTAAATAACAATTATTTTAGTGTTAGATTTATTATTATGGTTTTTCTCTTTAGTATTTCCTTTTTTTTGGGGCTATGGTTTTTATCTAACAACATTCATTCACTATTATATTGACACCTGGGAGTTATCTCCAATGAAGCTAGCACTCTACCTGTTTATGCACACAATCTTAAATTACCCTAGACGGGGGTGAATAGGGTAATCAAACAATAAATGTGCAATTATTGAAATTCAATACAATACCAAACACAAATAATAAGTATGACAATAAATAAGAGAGAGAAAGAGAACAGTTAGCCAAATTGCACGCCGATGTGTTCACGAGGTTCGGTTCTCACGACTTACGTCCCGACCACCTCTCCCGATAGTAATCCACTAAACACACCCGGTTTGGAAGCCGAGATTCTTCACAACGACTCCCCCGAGATCTCACAACTACATAATTTGATCTCTTCGAGATCAAGCTCTCCACATAGTAGAATAAGATGGAAAAATCTCTCTTACAACACTCCTATGACAAGGATTAAGAGATTGCAAATGAAGCTTAGGGTTGTGGGTATTGAAAGAGTAAATCCGAAATTGAGAAGAATGAGAGTTTAAGCTCAAAACACACAATAAACAAAAAGTCAAAGAATTTTTCTTATTTGCTTTAATACTGAAATGAAGAGGGCCAAAGGATATATATAGGAACCCCAACCAATAGTCCAAATCCCGAACAAATCACAAAATTCCGAAATTTCAGCTGAATCAGAAACTAGCCGTTACAGTGCCATCAGTCGACTGATAGTACTGTTCAGTCGACTGATGAGCTGACCGTTGGTGGTCGCTCAGACTTTATCGGTCGACTGATGGTTCATCAGTCGACTGAGTAGAATTTTTTTGTGTTTCCAGGCAGTTTCTTCAGTTGACTGATAACACTGTTCAGTCGACTGATAACATGAACATGGCCTGTTTAAAAATAAAAATTTAATTTTTGAAGTGCCTTAAAAAATAGCAAATAAATTCTAAAAAATATCAAACTTTAGGAAATGTTTATAAACATGAATATAAACATGTTAGAAAAAAATTCTTGAAAAATCATTTCCCAAATGTAAAACCTTATCATTTTTCAAACTTGGTCAAAAACATGATTTTAAAAGTGGGTGTGTGAACCCCAATTGCTTCAAATGTTATCTACTTTGTTTCTTGCCTACATTATGATCTAGAGAAAGTAAAAAATACAAATAACGCTCACATATGTATACAACTCTTGAGGCTCGATATTTGCTAATTTGTTGATGAAGCTCCTCTTGTATATGTTGCTCTTTAAATGGCTTTTTTTCATCAACTTGCCTCCACCTCCTTAGATATCATCGTTACGACGCAAGTTCCATCCATCCTTCAATAGTGGCACTATATTACTTGACAAAATGTAATCTACACAATATCACTCAACAAGCAATTAGCACCAATAAGGATGTTTGGAAATCATCATCAAAACAAAAGACCTATCAATCTCTCCATTTTTGATAATGACAAACTACCATTATACAAGAGCATAAATAAAATAAGTACTTATAGATAGTTGCTCCCCTATCTATAAGGCTCTCCTCTTATCTATATGCACAAAGGATTGGAGATTTTCTCTCTTTGTCAACATTAAAATGGGGTAATAAAAAAAACGATATACATGTTGTAAAACCCACAAGATACTTCTCTAAGGTACCGTTTGGCAAATGGTTAAGTGAGGAGTTAATGAGACTTAACCCCTTTTTAACCCGCCAAACACAAAAAATCTATACAAGGGTTAAAGTGAGTTGACCCTTCATAATTTACTAAACATAAAAAATATAGAAGGGTTAAGCTAGCCCCTCTAGAGATTAAAATGAGTTAACCCCTCAAAATGAGGGGTTTACTAATACACCTATTTAAAAGGATTAATAGTTAATATTTATAATTATAAAAAAAATAGTTAAAATCATTATTATTCCCAAACACTAAAACTGATCGTAAGGGCTAAAATAAAACTTATTTAACAGGTTAATAATTTAGTCATTCAGATTATCGAATGTGCTAAGTACATTAATCCTTTTCTTTAACCCTTCTTTCTTAACCCTTTGTCAAAAGGGACCTAAGTGTTAGCCTACCCGTGTTACATTTCTCAAGTGTTTGGATTTATGATCTCTCCCTAGGCTTTACTATCAACCCACTCCTCTTAGAATTGACCCCGGTCTCTCCCAATCACTCCTCTAAGTATCCTTGCGTGTTCAAACATGTTGTGGCAATGAGTGCAAATAATAAAATATTTAGATATGAAAATGTTAATCCAAAAATAAAAAACAAGCAAAAGGCATCAAAACAAATAATCAAAGAATACACATGCCTAATTCATTTTTTATACGACAAAAATCTTCTTCACTAAGGGGTTTGATAAAGATGTCCGCTAATTATGATTTTGTGTCAATTTATACAAGAGAGACATCTTTCCTTTCTACATGGTCACGTAAAAAATGATATCGTACATCTATATATTTAGTTCTAGAATGCAAAACAGATTTTTTGAAATATTTATGGTACTAGTATTTTCACAATAAATCTTTGTATCATGAAAATGTAAATTAAAATCAACTAAATTTTGTTTTATCCATAATAATTATGCACAACATAAACCGGCGGTAATGTATTCCGCTTTCGTAGTGGATAAGACAACACAATTTTGTTTCTTGGATGACCAAGAAACAAGTAAATTGCCTTAGAATTAACATGTGTCACTCGTACTCTTACGGTCTATTTTACATCCGACAAAATCGGCATCACAATAACCACAAAGATCAAAAGTAGTATTCTTTGGATAAAATAAACCAAGCTCAATAGTGCAATTTATATATTTAATAATTCTTTTAACCGCAATTAGATGAGATTTTTTAGGAGATGCTTGAAAGCGTGCACATGCATAAACACTAAACATAATATCCGGTCTACTAACGGTGAGATAAAGTAAACTACCTATCATACATCGATAGAGTTTTTGGTCTACCTTCTCACCACTTTCATCCAAGTCCGACTTGATGGAGTTGCTCATCAGAGTTTGTGCGTATTTGGAATTTGACATGCCGAATTTTTTGACCAACTCTCTAGCGTATTTGCTTTGTGACACGGAAATTCCGTTAATTGGTTTGTTTAACTTGGAGACCAAGAAAGAATGTAAGCTTTCCCATCATGCTCATCTCAAATTGTTCTTGCATAACCTTTGAAAATTTCTTGCACAATGATTCATTAGTAGCACCAAAGATAATATCAACATAAATTTGAACCAAAATAAAATTATTTTTTCTTTTTCTAAAAAATAGAGTGTTATCAAATTTTCCTTTTGAAAATCCATTGTCAATGAGAAAACTTGAGAGGCGAGCATACCAAGCTCTAGGAGCTTGTTTTAACCCATACAAAGCTTTTTGTACTCGATAAACATGATTAGGAAATAGTGGATCAATAAAATCGGGGGTTGCTCGACATACACTTCTTCAATAAACCCATTTAAAACAAGTACTTTTAACATTCATTTGAAATAATTTAAAAATTTTAAAGCTAGTAAAATCTAAAAACATTCTAATTGACTCCAATCTAGTAACCGGTGTAAAAGTTTCGTCATAATTAATGCCCTCCTCTTGATTGTATCATTGGGCAACTAAACGAGCTTTATTTTTAGTCACTATATCAAATTCATCAAGTTTATTTCTAAAAATCAAATTTTTTCCAATAACATGGAAATCTGTAGGTCTAGGAACAAGTTTCCAAATATTATTTTTTTTAAAAATTGTTTAATTCATCATGCATAGCTAAAATCCAAAATTCATCATTCAAAGCATCAACAACACATTTAGGTTCAATTTGGGATAAGAAAGTAATATTATCACACTCGCTCATCTTTGAGCGAGTCAAAACTCATTTTAATGAGCTTCCGATAATTTGCTCCTTAGGATGATCCGGTGCAAACTTCTATGCTTTAGGGAGTTCTACTTGAATAGGTTCAAGTCCTCATTCCCTATCCTTTGGTGCAACTGTTGAGGGATTGTCATTTATTTATAAAAGTTTCAATCCTTCCTCAATGTCATCATCATCCCTAGGCACATATTGTAAACCATCATTAGATTAATCAAAGGTAACGTTTATAGATTCTTCTTCAACGAGTGTTCGTTTGTTGAAAACTCTTAAGTCTTACTCCTTGATGCATATCCCAAAAATATCCCTACATCTATCTTTGATTAAAATTTTCATGGTGATCTTTTGTGTTAAAAATAAAACATTTGCAACAAAAAACCTGGAAATAGCTAATATTTGGAGTTTTGCCAAAATAAAATTCATAAGGTGTTTTCTTGAAAATTGATCTAATTAAAACACGATTTAAAACATAGCAAGCCGTGTTGACGGTTTCTACCCAAAAATATTTTGACAAATCAAAAACATTAATCATACTACGTGTCATCACTTGTATGGTACGATTTTTTCGTTCAACAATACTATTTTGTTGTGGTGTTCTTGGAGCAGAAAACTTGTGTAATCATGATGATTACAAAAATCACTAAAAATTTTATTTTGAAATTCACCACCATGATCACTTTGAATTTTTATAACTTTCAAATCCTTTTCATTTTCAACTCTTTTTACAAAAAAAAAAAATTCTTCAAAACATTCATCTTTATTTGTAAGAAAAATAACCCAAGTGAAATGTGAAAAATCAACTATAACAAACGCATTGTGTTTACCTCATAGTGAGGCAACACGCATAGGACCAAAAAGATCAAGATGAAGTAGTTATAAGGGTTTAGTGGTAGATACCTCATTTATAGTTTTAAAGGAGTTTTTTTGACTTGTTTACCTTTGGCACACTCCTCGCATTGAGAATCTTTAACAAAGGTTAGGCTTGGTAGTCCTTTTACCAAGTTCTTCTTTGATAGCTTTGAAATTAATCTCATGTGGGTATTTCTAAGTCTTTTGTGCTAAATCCAATGATCCCCATCTACCGCGGCAAGACATTTCATATCTTGATCTATAAGCTCATTTATCTTTAAAATATACACATTAGTTTTTCTAAGGGCAACAAAATTTTTTTTATCATTAAGACTAACAATACATTTATCCGGTTTAAAAGTAATATCATAACCTTTGTCACTAAGTTGACTAATGCTAAGAAGATTGTGATTAAATCCTTTTACTAAATAAACATCTTTAATAACGGGAGAAAGCTTCTTATCAATAACACAAATATCTACAATTTTACCTTTCTCACCGCCGCCAAAGGAGACATTGCCTCCTTCCATCATTGATAGGGTTACAAATAAATTTTTATTGCCCGTCATGTGATGAGAACAACCACTATCAAGGTATCACATCTCTCTACGTCTTATGTGAGACGTTCCCTACATGTAAACGAGTGGTAGAAATTTTAGGTACTCAAATCTTGGGTCCTTGAATGTTAGTACCCTTGGTACCCTTAGGTACCCACATCAACCTATAATAATAAATGTTATCTCTAATCTTACAATGTGTGGAAGTATGATCATATTTCATGTAATATGTGCAAATAAAATCTTTCTTGTAGGTGAGGGCATGAGATCTATGATACAATGTTCTTCTAAAGTGATGATGATTATGACTAGTAGAAGCATGATTAGTTCTTAACGTTTTATTTTTATTTTTTAATTTTTTAATTTGAGATCTTAATTGTTTATTTTCAAAATCGAGATCCCTAATTATCTTATCTTTTAAGGCAATGACATCATTTAGCGAGGATTATAGTTGCTCAAATTTTGAGTCACATGAATTATACAATTTCTTGAAAGAAGAATGTTCTTTTCTTAATTTGTTCAATTCAAAATTTCATTCCTAGCTCACATTGCATATAAAATGATTCATCATCGGTATCGGATTGTACCTCATCTTCATAAGCCATGAAGCATATGTTTGAATCATGAAGAGCAATCTTGGCGGCTTCTTCGTCACTATCCGAATCACTTGGTTCGGATTCCTCCCATCCCGCATACATCGCCTTCTTCTTCTTGTACTTCATGTATTTCTCTTCTATCTTGGAACAATCCTTCGCTATATGCCCCTGTTCATTGCACTCAAAATATTTACCTACACGAGAGGGGAATTTGTTAGAACGATTTTTAAATTTTTATTCATTTTTATCGATCTTGATATTCTCCTAGAGATGGGAGCCACTTTTCTAGAGACATCGATATCACTATTTGAGGAGGAAGAGTCATTATCAATTGCTCCTTTGAACGCAATAGTCTTCATCTTTTGAGAAGGCTCTTCATTTGTTCATTGGGGTTCTTCCTTCTTCTCATTGATCTTCTTTTCGTGAACTTTGAGTTTGCCAATGAGGCCATCAAGTGTAAGCGTCGTAAGATTATTAGCTTCCTCAATAGTCGTAGCTTTGGGCTCCTATGCCGATGGCGAATGATTTTGTAGTTTTTCTCTTGGTTCTCCAACACATTATCAATGCCATGTAATTCATTAACAATATTAGTAAATCGAAAAACATGGCATCAATTGACTCATTTGAAAGCATCTTAAATAACTCATATTCATGCATAAGGATGCTAATTTTGGACTCCTTGACTTGAGGGGTTCCTTCATGAGTGATACATAGTTTTTCCTAAATTTCGTGTGCGATTGCACACGTGGAGACTTTATTATACTCATTCGGAGTGAGTCCACAAATGAAGACGTTCATGGCTTTAACATTAAGGTTAGCCAAATGCCGTTCATTCTCGGTCATGTCTTTGCTAGGCTTTTCAACATATTTCTTCTCTACTATTTCTAGAATGTCAAGATCGATACATCGCAAATAAATTCTCATCCTAGCTTTCCAATAGGCGAAGTTCTTGCAGTATATAAAGGGGGTCTAGTAGTTGATTGACCTTCAAGCATATGCACATTCATGTTTGAATCTATTTGGATCTTTACTCTAAAGTGGTTAGACCTAATTAAATGTAGAGATCTTGCTCTGATACTAAATGAAATTACCCTAGAGAGGGATGAATAGGGTAATCAAACAATAAATGTGCAATTAATAAAATTCAATACGATACCAAACACAAATAATAAGTATGGCAATAAATAAGAGAGAGAGAGAGTAAGAGAATAGTTAGCCAAATTGCACGCCGATGTGTTCATGAGGTTCGGTCCTCACGACCTACGTCCCGACCACCTCTCCTGATGATAATTCACTAAACACACCCGGTTTGAAAGCAGGAACTTCTTCACAACGATCTCCCTTAAGATCTCACAACCACACAATTTGATCTCGAGATCAAGCTCTCCACATAGTAGAATAAGATGAAAAAATCTCTCTTACAACACTCCTGTGGCAATGATTAAGAGAATGCAAATGAAGCTTGAGGTTGTGGGTATTGAAAACGTAAATCCGAAATTGAGAAGAATAAGAGTTTAAGCTCAAAACACACAATAAACACAAACTCAAAGAATTTTTCTTGCTTGCTTTAATACTGAAATGAAGAGGGTCAACAGATATATATAGGAACCCCAAATAATAGCCCAACTCCCGAACAAATCACAAAATCCTGAAATTTCAGTTGAAACAGAAACTAGCCGTTACAGTGCCATCAGTCAATTGATGGTATTGTTCAGTCGACTGATGAGCTGACCGCTTAGACTTCATCGGTCGACTGATGAACTCATCAGTCGACTGATGCACTGCTTCAATCGTCTGATGGTCCATCAGTTGACTGAGCAGAAACTTTCAGTGTTTCCAGGCAGTTTCTTCAGTCGACTGATAACACTGTTCAGTCGACTAATAACATGAACAAAGCCTGTTTAAAAATGAAAATTTGATTTTTGAAGTGCCTTTAAAAATAGCAAATAAATTTCAAGAAATGTCAAACTTCGGGAAATGTTTATAAACATGAATATAAACATGTTAGAAAAAGAATTCTTAAAAAAATAATTTCCCAAATGTAAAAACTTATCATTTTTCAAAATTGGTCCAAAACATGATTTTAAAAGTGTGTGTGTGAACCCCAATTGCTTCAAATGTTATCTATTTTGTTTCTTGCCTACATTATGATCTAGAGAAAAAGTAAAAAAAATACAAATATCGCTCACATATGTATACAACTCTTGAGGCTCGATATTTACTAATTTGTTGATGAAGCTCCTCTTGTATATATTGCTCTTTAAATAGCTTTTTTCCATCAACTTGCCTCCACATCCTTGGATATCATCGTTACGGCGCAAGTTTCATCCATCCTCCAATAGTGGCACTATATTGCTTGACAAAATGTAATCTGCACAATATCACTCAACAAACAATTAGCACCAATAATGATGTTTGGAAATCATCATTAAAACAAGAGACCTAACACAATCATAATTTATCATATTAATGCTTTTGAATGCAAGTAAGATTAAGATGTGGCCTTTCCGCTACCTTGTTCTCAGTGGGGAGGACTTGCCATATTACAATTAGATTGTTGAATCTATATATTTTTTCCCCTTTTGAGATTTGGTATCGGTTAACTCCAGATCTTTTGTCCATTTTTTCTTTATCATCTTCATGATTGTTTTTTCTTAATGTTTGTTATACATTATAATTTTCTTCTTAATACTTGTTATTTGGTATAATTTGATTTCATTGTCATTTATATCATCTTGGTCATTTGTTCCATGATCAATGTCTTTTCTCAGTGTGGAATGAAGTATTAATAATAAGACTGTTGTATCTGCTTCTTATATTTGGGCTATGATAACATTTTTGGTTTCAAATTTTCCTTCATCATTTGTGTTATTGGATACTGCAATTCAGTTGGATTTTTCTTTAAGGGCGTGTTTGTTTCATTTATCAAAATATAGGAAACCATTTCTAGTAAACCTATTTCCACCTCTTTCCGTGTGTTTCTAGGAAACATGTTTTTATTGTTTGCTTTGGTATGGAAACATGGGCAGGAAATGTTTTCTATCTCATTCTCTTGTTTGGTTCAAAAGCCAAAAATAAGAAAATATTTGAGTTGGAAACCTTCCTTCATTATTTAACTATTATATTTTACCAACTCCCAACATCATCCCATTATTTAATTATTAAAACCCACATTTCCAACCTTTTTTGCAGCCCATTTCCTCGCATTTAGGGAGGAATTGGTTTCCACCCAAAAAGTCGTGTTTTCTCCACTTTTAAGAACACCTTATTAAAAACTTTTGGTGAAACAAACAAAGGAATTTGGAACCCCTGGATTTGATTATTATTATTATTCATTTTCTGATGGTGTCAGAATTTTTCCAATGGTTTCCACTTTAAAAAAACACGCCCTGAGAAGAAACATCTGTTCACATTTTGCCTTTGTATCTAATGATTTGGGATTCAATTGAGGTGCATCTAATTCTTTGAATGAAATTTCTAGGTTATGTCTGATAAGGAAGGTCTTAGAGGAGGCTGGTTTTCTGCACGCGTTCTTGATTTAAAAGATAATGAAGCTTATGTCTGCTACAGCAATCTTCTTTCTGATGATGGTAAGGATCAGTTTACTTACAATTTATTTATGTGTATTATCATCTTCATTGAAAGTTATCTAATTACAAGTTTGTCATTTTAACAAGTTCTAATAAGAATTTTTTAACATGCCTTGTTATGTGAATGATTGACCAAAAATCTCGTCAGGATCTGGTCAGCTTAAGGAATGGGTGTCACTTGACAGTGAAAGAAATAGAGCTCCTAGAATTCGGATTATGCATTCTGTGGTCTCAACAAAGTACGATGGAACAAGGAAGCGGCGAAGGGAGGCTGTAGGTAATTATGTATGGGCTGTTGGTGATAGGGTGGATGCTCGGATGCACGATGGGTTAGTATTTTATCTAAATGTGGCTCATATATACAACTTTAGGCTGAGTCAAGTTATTTTTTAGTGTTTTCTGTACTGAATGCTACTTGTGCTATTGGTGACACATATAAGAAGTTTGAGAAGATCCAGTTTTCTCACTTCTGCCAGGAATTTACTCCTGTTCCCTTTCATTTTTAAAGGAAATAAGCTTAAGTTGCACATGTTTAGGCTCTTTTCCCCCTTTTTTATTTACTTGCAAGGAATAAAAGTATGGTATATGTTCATGAATATGACAATTCTACAGGATACATGCTTCTTTATTTAAGTAAACTACAACGATATATTGCTACAACAGAGAGAGAGAGAGAGGGATGGATCTAGAATGTTTTCCCCTTGTGGGGCACATTTACAATTACAAATGTAAATTCATAGCTTATATAATATTATACCACTAGAAGAACTTATTTACACAATAACCATGTAAATCTCAATAAATAATGCTTTTCAATATCATTTCATATCAATAAATAGCCATTTTCATTTTCATCAACAAATACTTATGAAAGACTACTAAGATTCAATAATAGTTCTTCATACTTGTATGGTATTACAAATTTTGTGGGGGAACCTATATAAATTATATGGGGGCACCTATTTAATAAAAAAATAAAAATTGTGTGGGGGCAAGTGCCTCCACAAGCCCTTTCATGGATCCGTCCTTGCACACTATTTTATCTATACTGTGAACTATTAATTCTATAATGTTTGGAATGCTCAGTAACCTAGATATCATGTAATTAAAAGTCACTCTCCTAGAAAATCATAGTTTCTTCTTGCGATTAACCATGTAAATGCGTCTATGAATCAAATGTAGTTGTGATTCATCCTTTGTACGTTAGGACTTTAGCTTCTCTTGGAGTCACCGTGGCACCTCTTTGGTATATACAGGATATGGCGTAGATTTTAGTCTATATAAAAAGAAGCATCCAACGTATATTAAGCATTTGAGTATCCAAGTATTGGATTTGCATTTGGGAACACCTTCGTTATTGAAGTATCCTTGCAATATAGCCTATAGTCCATTTTTTTAACTTCATAATGCAAACCCCTTTTGAGGAGTTTGTAATTAATGAGATTGTCTCATGACTGTCCCATGTCCCATTTTGGTTCATTGTTTTAGATCATGAATCTCTATCAAGCTTTGGGAAAATCTACGTATAGAATCTCCAAAGTAATACTATGCAGAATTTGTCAAAACACTACATAAAATAAAGGTCAAAATTTTGTATGGTTTATGTGCGATATACTAGTAAGTATATGGATCTTCATGTGCTTCCTCCTTTTGCATATATGTCTATACATTATTTTGAGTGTGCACCATTGGATCATGTACTTAGTTACATCCTCACAAACTTTATGCATGGCTTTTATTTTACTCATGCTGCATTCCCAAAATTTAGTTTAATTTGCATATTGACGTCTTTCAAAATCTCTTCTTATAGATTGCCTACAGGTCTAAGAAATTTGAGAAGATGTAGTTTGCTCACTTCCACCAGAAATTTACTCCTGTTACCTTTCACTATAAAGAGAATAAGTTTAAGCCACATGTTTGGGTTTTTTTTCTTTTTACTTGCAAGGAATACAAATATTATATATGTTCATGGATACGACAATTCTACAGGATACTTTTGCATTTTTATATAAGTATACTACAATTTTATATTACTCCAACGCGCGTGCGCTTGCGCGCACACACACACACCAACAAACAATGTTTTATCTATAATCTGAAACTTTTAATGTTATAATTTTTGAAACCCAGAGTAACCCAGGTGTCATGTAATTACGTCTCACTCACCTAGAAAGTCATAGCTTCTTTTTGTGATTAACGATACAAATGCATCTTATAAATTGGCATCTTTAAATCAAATGCAGTCGTGATCCATCTTTGTACGTTATGACTTTATCTTCTTAGTATTGGAGTCACGTGTGATATTTCTTTCTTATGTACAGGATATGCTGTAGATTTTATTCTATATAAAAGAAGCATCCAACACATATTCAAGCATTTGAGTATCTAAGGATTGGATTTGCATTTGGGAAGACTTTCCTTGTTTAAGTATTGATGCAATGTAGCCTAAAATCCATCTTTACCTTTATAATGCAAACTCCTTTTTGAGGAGTTTGCAATTAATTAGATTGTTTCGTTATCCTTGCCATGTCCCATTCTGGTTCACTGTTTGGAATCATGAATCTCCATCAATCTTTAGGCAAATTTACAGATAGAATCTCCAAAGTAATACTTTACAGAATTTGTCAAAACACTACATATAATAAAGGTTATTTTTATATTGTTGATGTGCTATGTGATAGCAAATATATGTTTTTTTGCAAATATATACACCTCCCTGTGCTTCTTTTGCAATGTCTATACATAGTTTTGAGTTTGCACCATTTGTTCATATACTCCTCTCCATCCTGAGGAACTCTATCTATGTCTTTTATTCTATCTCGTGTTGCATTGCCAAAGTGTAGTTTACTTTGTATATGTTATGGTTATTTCAAGATTTCCCCAGGCCTCCCATTTATTTTCAGTTTTTTGCAGAAACCTAGACACTTCCTGTGGGTTTCTGAATGTCCTAGCCTGCATTCTTTTCCCATTAGTCATATGCTATTTACCTGGGTACTTCTATCTTACCCATGCCGGACACGTTCGTGTATCCTTACCCAAACTCCTTGGACACTCCTTGCATATATCATACATTTATTTGGGCATGTGCTCAATCAAACAATACATGTTTTAATTTAGAATTCCTGGATGTAAATCCTACACTTCACATCCCCTACTTGCAACCAGTTGGGTTCCAAACTATGATTTTAATGGTCATTTGGGTGACTATCTCAAAACACGAGCATTTTTACAATTTATAGTCCGCAAAATAAAAGAAACATGAAAATGATATGGGAATTCTAATTCTCGTAACACGTGAATAAAAAAACATTGATCTCAAAGTAAACTATTAGTTTCAATAAATAATTAATTTCAATACCTAACATATGTGTATATAAGTCTTTATATAGCTGTGTCCCCGTACCCTACCTTTTGCAAATTTGCCATGACCCATAGCAATACCCATACCCATTGTACCCATGCAAGTATGCAGCATGTCATTTGACTCTTATTCTCACATGTGTCTTTAATTTTAGCTCGTGTTGCGCTGCCAAAATTTAGTGTACTTTGTATGTGTTAGGGTTGTTTCAAGATTTCCCCAGGTCTTTCATTTTTTTCAGTTTTTTGCAGAAATCTTGACACTTCCAGTTGCTTTGTGAATGTCCTAGCCTGCATTCTTTCCCATAAGTCATCCTATGTTACCTGGGCACTTCTATCTTGAAGCATACCCATACCCATGCCCGATACGTACGTGTACATGTACCCAAACTCCTTGGACATTCCTTGCATAAATGCATACATTTATTCGGGCATGTACTCAATTAAACAATATATGTTTTAATTTAGAATTCCAGGATGTAAATCATACACTTCACACCCCCTTCTTGAAACTAGTTGGGTTCCCAACTATGATTTTAATGGTCGTTTGGGTGACTTGTTCAAAACACGAGCATTTTTACAATTTATAATCCACATAATAAAAGAAACATAAAAATGCTATAGGAATTTTACTTCTCATAACATGTGAATAAAAAAATATCGATCTCATGTTAACTATTAGTTTCAATATAAAATTATTTTCAATACATAATGTATGCATATATTAATATTTACATAGCCGTGTTCCCATGCCCTTTTGCAAATTTTCTGTGTCCTGTACCAGTACCTGTACGTGTATGTACCCATGCAACATAGGTCATATGACTCTTATTCTCACACGTTACTGCAAACTTATTTTCAGATGGTTTGAAGGGACTGTGATTGAGAAGAGCCAAGTCGATGAAACAAAGCTTACAGTGCAATTTTCAGGTTTGCTTATACATGTATTGTTAAGTTGATATGTTAGATGTTTTATTAGTTTGTAAAATGCTCAAATTTATTGTCCTAAATACTTCTTTTATACTAGTGTCAAATTATCTTGTCAACTAAGACTTTCCCTCTAAATTGGTTGATATCAACTTTTACCATTGACTATCAACATGGTACTAATCCTCTATTCAAAATTCCTTGTCCAGATAATTAGGGTCAATTGAAGACAATGCTTTTAGAGTGTTCTTAGAGGGCAAGAAATAAGATTTATGTGATCTGTTAGTGTTGCAGGGAATCACAGTCATCTGCAAAGTTCAAACTGCATAGTGAGCATGGATCACTGCATTTTAGTTGCAATATTGTAGAGGATGGCTTGGCATGTATTTGCACTTACATGTGCTTGAACACTGAAAAAGATGGAGGAAAAAAGATACAAGTGTGATTGTTATAATTTCTAAATGCAAGAAAGCTGAGGGGCACTTGGATGGGTTTCTGTTGAATAATATAAGTCGGGTTATTGAATGCTAAGTTATCCATAAGAAAAATCTCAGTGAAGGTCAAACTTTCCTAGGATTACTATGATGTTTCTTGTTGTATTCATAGTTAAATTTCGCAAAATTACTTTAGCTTCTATTTTCTAACAATAAACTGTAGTTGGAACTGCAAAGGGATGCCCTTGCAGCAAGACAGTCTTATGCAATAATTAGTGAGGTTGTGTAGGTTATTGCCTTTCTGCTAAGCACCTTACACAAGAACTAGATCTGGTGTCAAATGTGTTATTATGTCCATTATGATAGAAGGGATTAAGGAGCTTCGTCCAGGAGTGTACAGTGATACTAGTAACTGGGTAAGTTCTAAGATAGATTAGCTAGTTGGAATCTAAGAGGTATTGGAGCTAGTATGCACCATAATCAGGAATATATTCTTTTGGAAGAAATCAAGGAAAGATGAGTCATTCTGGGAGAATAAATATACAATACACTTGATATAAAATTCGGTTTACAGGAAAGGAGAAACACAAATAGGCTTGAGATACATGTTTAACATATTGAAAGTAGTTGTTTGGAAACTAAGGGAAAGTTTGAAAGTAAGTTAGCTTTGTGGAATGTAAGATGTATGGAACCTTATAGGCACAATAATCAGTAATATATTCTTTCACGAGAGCTAAGGATTGGTGAGGCATCTGAGAGAATAAACATACATGACATAAATTTTGATTTAAACTAAAGGAGAAACACAAACAGTCTTGGGATACTTGTTAAACATCGTCGAAGTAGATACACTCAAGCTAAATGAAGAAAGAACAAAATAATTTTAGTAAAGCTGAAAGTAATCACCAAATGGTATTTATTGAACTGTTTCATATTGAAACTACTTTTGCTCATACGTTCTAAGTGGGACTGATGGAAGCATTTCGTATGACGAAAGATGAGTTATATTTGTTAACGAAGGAATCTGATGGTAACCACTATCAATATATTTTATCTCACCATTTGATATGCAGCTATCTCTTGTTTTGGCCAAGAGTAAAAGACCTGTTGGTTTTGTCTGCTCGCTCTTAATTTCACAGAGTAGCTGGTCCAGAACATGTCAGCAAGTTAGTCAGCTCATATTCTGCTGACGATTTTTATCCCAAAAAAAACTTAAAAGTGAATATTTTCTCTAATTTTCAGCTTAAGTAAATAATGACCTTTTACGCCATTCTCCGTTAGGTATTGAGATTCCGTTCCAACTTACAGAGGTTGAATTTATATCTGATAGTTTAAGCTTCCATTAGGATTGCATTCTTTGCAGATTCCCATTTGCTAGATCCAATTAGATTTGACTCATTACCTCTAAACCATTAAGACAGTGAGAGCTCATGCCTTTTACGTGATACACGAAATCAGATGATGTTGTTAGTTAGTTGCATAACTGTACATAGCAGCTTTAATAAATTACAACAGCAGAAGCAGCAAATCCTCTATCCCAAATGTTTGGGCTACATGAATTCAATTCTTCCACTCCATTCTAATTTGGGCCATCTCCTTCGTTAAGTTTACCATTTTCATATAGCAGCTTTATTAAATTGATGTGCACAAAACGGCGCTCGTATTTTTTAATTCTGTTGGCTATTGTTAAGCTTTTAATATGCTTATTGCCTGATTTCTTATACTTAACTATAGAAATGAACATCTTGTTAAATGGGTTGTATATTCTCTTAATATAAAGTTGTGACTATTATTCGGGGAGCTTGATGATGAAATATTTGAAAGGTGAGAACTTGATATAAATATTGAGGTTAATTGTGAATATCTTGTAAAATGCTTTACACATGAAAAAATCTGAAAATGTAAGGACTGGATGTCTTTGCAAGTCAACGATGATTGAGAGATCGAAATGGTGAAGAACATGAAAAATGAAGACTTCAGGCAATTTGAAGATTTAATGGTGAAAGGAACAAAGTTTGAATGCAAAGGAAAAAGACCTTTTTTCCTCTCCAGTGTCTAATTGTGTTAAAAGAGTAGCAAAGAGGTCTGTAAGAATCTAAAGGTGGTAGAAAAGGTTGTGGGGGTAAATTTAAGGTATATGATACATTGAATATAGATGCTCACCAAGAAAATTTATTAGACCTAGAGTTATTTGCATTTCGTGTGCAAAAATGAACCCGACTATAGCATAAAAAGAAATTTAAGAAGGTCAAGTAACTTTACTAATTTTTTCACGTGAGCCATATAGGATTTAGAGTATAGTTCATTATAGGAATGCTACTGTTGATGTTTTAACTTAAGTGAAGCTGAAATTTCTTTTACAGCATGCAAATAGAAAACCTATAGGACTTTGTGACATTCCTATTAGGTTTGGAATAGTTTGGGGAATCAATACTTACACGGATAACTAAGTTAAAGAGGATATGAAGGTTGAGAAAGTGTCTAATGATGGAATTTGCTATGGGTTTGTAAGAATAGATGTGGTACAGAGAGTTGTCGAAACCATCATGGACATGGACTTCTGAACTCATGTGCAACGTACATGAAACTTGGAAGAGCATAGTTGAAGAAAAAGTAAGAAAAGAAATGATTGCTTCTTGCGAACTACTTAAGTTTATCAATCATTTTTCTTGTGTGGTCATTAGAGATGCAATGTGAATATTCGTGGATATCTTTCTTGTGTGGTTATTACTTATTAGGAATGTAAATGACAATGGATATCTGTGGATCTATTCGCATCCTATACAATCTGGATATGGCTATTAAATATGATACATTTTAATAGGATTAGGAGACAAATACGGATATAGGTAAATCATCTGCTTTATTAGAAGGTAAAAACTATATTGGCTTTAAATTAGCGGATCTGAAACTGATTTTCATGATCAAGAGATGTAATTTTAAATTTGTAGGCGTGCTGCATATGTTGAACTATGCTTTAAGAAATTTTGTTTTATTTAGACAATTTTTGTATCATATACTTAAATAGTTTTGAGTTTTATAAGGTTCTCTCATATCCGATTTATGTATCATGATTTATTGTCCTCTCATTCCATCTGTATTTGCATTCAATTTAAAAAAATGAATGTGAGTTTTTGTTATGGAACTACATTCGTTTTCGTATTTGTATCAGTTATTAGAAAATAACACTATTATGATAAATGTCATATCCAATCCATATTCGTTCTGTTTGCACCCCTACTGGTTATATTTCCAAAAAAGTAAATGGATTTTAGCTGTAACGATTTGCTTGCATTACCATAGTTTTTAAGATTTGTAATTGTTTTGATCACATTCTTGTGGTCCATGTATCAACAATGTAGATCGCCTCGAACCTTTGGTTTTAGCTTTTCTAATTATCAAAGAAAAAAAGGAGAATAATTAGATTTCTTTTCTAACTATAATTAGATTTCTTTTCTAACTTCTAATACTATGTAGATTTGTTAAACAAATAATTGGTCTCATATAGCTTAAGTGTATGAGATTCCTAAACTTGTGTTTATTACAATGTTCATTTTGTGCTGAATAGTTTATGTATATTTTCTTCTTGCAGCTGGGGGTCATTCGTCGCTGGTTCGGGCCTGGGACCTTCGGCCATCACTCACTTGGAAGGATGGTCAATGGATAGAGTGGTCTCGTGCCAGAGACAATACGGCGCAATCTTACAAGGTTTCATTTCCATCTCGCAATTGCTGACCTCTCTGCTATTTAGCAATCACTGCAATGTTATTTATTTCATTTGCTCAATTTTTTTTTGTAAAAAACACTCAGGGCGATACTCCCCATGTGAAACGACCAAAGTTGAGCAGAGTTGACACCAAGGTTGATGCAGAAGTTGACGGCACAGGGATAAGTAATTTTTTCGAGAAAATGCCTGCAGAGTTTTTAGGGAAAGCAGAGGAGACAGGACCACTGAATTTATCTGCAAAGGATACAATTTTTTCTGTGGGAGAGAATGCGAGTGGAGCAAATATTTCTGATGCACTGAAAGGGAAGCGGACTGGCTTACGAAAAGAAGGATCTGGGGTTGTATTTGGTGTTCCAAAGCCTGGAAAGAAAAGGAAGTTTATGGAAGTAAGCAAACATTATGGTTCTGATAAGACCAACAAGACAAGTCAAGGAGCTGATTCCCTTAAATTTGCTAAATATTTAATGCCTCAAACATCCAGACCATGGAGAAATACTTCTAAGGTGGATTCAAAAGTAAAACAGGGTGGGGACAGTAAGTCCATAGGAGTTAAATCCATTAAATCTCAAACTACTCAAACTAGAACTACATCTGAAAAAGAGAATCTTTCACTCACCACTGCTTCGAATGGTGACAAAAATGGTCATGGGTCTTCATCAAATATGACACCTGGTTTTAGCAAAGAGGAAAACAATTTAGAAAAGAATTCTCTAGAAGCTGTTTCTTTCCTTAACAGCCTTCAGACAAATGAGAGCCTGGTTCCTTCATCTGTTTCGTCTCTATCTACTGTCCGTGCTTCGAAGAAGAAGTCTTCAGCAGTTGAAGCAGAACAACGTGTAAAAGGAAGGCCTACTCCTTTGGATAAGTCCATCAGAAACGAAAAGAAGCCCACAGAGAACCATGGAACATCATTTGCCGATGCCGTCGAACCAAGGAGATCCAATCGTCGAATCCAACCAACTTCAAGGGTAAATCTAATGACGTATCTAATGATGAGTCTGGTATCGTTGTTTTATATAACTAGTATTCTTTAGAACATAATTCTTTATTAATGAGGCCATCGTCTTAGATGATAGTTACCATTTTCGATATGACATTTCATTTAGACTGTTCTTTTCAATATTTACCCTGTTGTCTTATGATTGGTAGAAAAATGTGCTTGTGTTTAACACTTGACCTGTTTGGTTGTCTGTGGGAAGAATTCTTGACTTTTTTGCTTTGAGTTCCTGTTATAGTTTGCTATTTTTTTGGGACTGGAATTCGTTCAAAAACATGTGACTTCAAGTATAAAATGCACTTAAAGAGGTTAAATATACAAAAATAACATAAGCTGCGCAAATTAGGACATCAAATGCAGCAAGGTACCACATCATCATGGTCATGTGGTACCTTCAGCTTATCAAAATTTGTTTAGTGGCAGAGCCAGCTTATTGCTAAAAATATTTTTTTTCTTGCCTTCCTCTCCTATTTTCTCCCTGATAGCTCCGACGAGCTATCATCATCTGAAAAGAAACGTCTTCTCATTTCTTTCTTCTTCTTTATTATACCATTCCCAGCAGATAACATGAAGCACATCTGAGGGGAAAATAAAAAGAAAGAATAATCAAACATCATAGATTAAGAATAAACCCTTATACAACAAGCAAACTGAAAATCAAAATTTTAGTCATGGACCTGGTTTATCTACTTCTGAATCCTGGACCCATTACAAACTTACGTTCCAAAAAAGTTACAAATAAGAATTTCCTATCAATCATACAACCAAAGGTGGCAACATATAGGGCCCAATAGGGCCGTGGTCGCCATCTTAGAAAATGAAAAAAAGAAGAAGAAAGAGATATTGCTATGTTGTATTTTTTTAAGCTACTGGGACTTAATTGAGTCAATAAAAACTCTGCTTCTTTCTTTTTGTCCGGGTGCAGATCATACCACATGTTCACGCCCTCCCTTCATCTCAATGTACATGAACGTTTCCCAAAGTTACCTCTTTAAAATCTTGGCTTAATTGCACTTAAATACCCTATAGTTTCCCCTGCTTTGCACTTATATAACCTCACTTGTTTTTGGCAGCACTTTATACCTTAAATGTTTTTAAAACTTTCATTTAAGCACCCTAAAGTTTTTACAACTTGCACTTAAATACCCTGAAGTTTTAGAAATTTGCACTTAAATACCCTTAAGTTTGTATAACCGAGGGCTTAAGTGCAAGTTTTAACAACTTAGACATATTTAAGTGCAAGTTTAGGGTGTAAGTGCTGCCAAAAAAGTGTGGGTATATACGTGCAAGTTTTAAAAATTTTAGGGTATATAAGTGCTGCCAAAATAAGTGAGGGAATATAAGTGCAAAGTAGGGGAAAATTATAAGATACTTAAGTGCAATTAATCGTGAAATCTTTAACTGGTGAGAATCCCCAACATTATAAACCCAGTACAAAAATAAAAAATAAAGGAAAATTAAGAACGCTTTTTGGAATTTCCCCCTGCGGGTGCATCTTTCATTTTCCCATGTATATTCATAGAAAATATTGACGTTATATGAATTTGTTGGGTTGTGGAGGTTAAAGAACGAGATAAAAGGTAAGATGGAGATGATGTGCCATTTAATTGATAGGTGTCAATAGGTTACTGGAAGGATGTATGCATGATGTGGTACCTTGTATGTACTGGATACTTTCTCCCTCTTAACAGCTCAATTCATGGGATCAAACATCTCAATCACAAGGAATGGAATAGCGGGCCTTAGTGCAGATCCAGCTTTTTATTATGAGTACAAATGGGTCCTTGTTACCTGTTAGGTCCCTTAGATTACTTCAGCAGTCTTTTTTGATCTCGTCTAACTCTATACTTTGTAACAGTCAAAAAATTCAATGATAAAAAACAGTCAAAAAATTCAATGATAAAAAACTGCTAATATAATCCATGAACAGTTTGATCGGTTGTTTATTCATGCATGCATATTAACTCTTTTCATTATCCTGTTAATAAAATCCATGAATACGGTTAATATAATCCATGTTCATGTTGATGAATTACATGTCACTGTCAGGAAACTGATATCATGTAATAGTGGTTATGTTGAAAATTATTCCATGTTAAAGGATAGTTACAACTTACAAGCTAAACCATTGACCAGTAGACATGAGTAAATAATGTATTGGCTAGTAGACATGAGTAAATAATGTTAGGTTATGTTTAAAGGTGTACTAAGTTTATCCATCAAATGTAAGTAGGTGTTTCTTCGGTTTCCATTTGTTGATTTGTTACTATAAAGCACAGATGTGGAGACACTGGCTTGAGAATGACGCTGCCACACAGAAATTTCTAAAAATTATACATGATGCACATGTCTGACATGCATTTCTAACATATTCGATATGACCCAGCTTCGTGATGGAAGAATTCATGATATATAGTCAGCCATGTCCTGCAACAAGCGAAAGCCTGCAAGACTTCATGTCCTGTTTCTTCAATGTTATGTCTTCCTTTGCATGCATAGTAATTGTTCTTGTGTCCCTTATCTACCTCATTTAAACTGAATCTTCCTACCTCATGATTCTTGCTGCGTCCCAATGCCTGTAATCACTAATCATTAACATTTTCATTGCTTCGAATTTTTGATCTTGTACTCTTGTAGCGAATTTGTTTTCGCATTCAATGTATATATCCACTCTTTTGAAGCATGTTGCCGTGTTTGAATCATTGTTTCAAGTCTTGCTGTCTC